ATCAGGAATAAGTATCACCACCACATTCACCATCACCATCACCATCACCGTCATCACCATCATCGCCATCATCGTCATCATCATCATCATCACCATCATCACCATCATCGTCATCATCATCATCATGACCAGAGCAATCATCACCCTCGTCGCCGGTCATCCTCTCAATGACACGCCAAGAGCGAGAATGATTGTGGCAGCAATAAGAACAGAAAGCTGCATTGATGCCATGAATATGCAGACTTCAGACATGGCTTAGTAGGCTTGGGCGAAGGTGCTGCTTGGTACTTTCGCATGTCAGCGTGCAGGGCGTTCAGGTTTCAATTCAACATGCAGAACAGGGGTTTAAACCCTAAACCCTAAACCCTAAACCCTAAACCCTAGAAAAAAAGGGGCTCTCTGGCCCCCCCCCGGAGCCGGCAGGTGCAGCTCCAGGAGCTAGGCCAGGAGCCGCGCGTGCAGCGCGTGAAGCAGTCTTTGCACCAGGCAGGGTGAGGGGGTGGGGGTGGGGGTTTAGGGTTTAGGGTTTAGGGTTTAGGGTTTAGGGTCTAGGGTTTAGGGTTTAGGGTTTAGGGTCGGGGTATGAGGGGGTTTGACCGTAACGAAGGTTTGGCGGGGTTGAGGGTTCAGGGTTAAGGCCTAAGGGCTTTAAGGGGCTTCAAGGAGCTTTAAAAGGTGAGATTTCGGGTCCAAGCTTTTCACCTGTCAAGCGAAAGAATACTAGGTGCAACCTCAAGGGGTGCTATGTTCAAGTGTGCAACCCCATGCGCTCAACTCAACCCTAAACCCTAAGCCCTAAACCCCCTAGACCCCAAACTCTAAAACCGTAAAGGTTGAGCTCTAAACCCGATACTCCGGGATTAGTGGACCCCCCCCGCTCAGCCCTAAAATCCTTCAACCTCCGAAGCCTCGCCTCCCACAAGAGCTGCAGGAATGAGCCGGATGCTTCGTTACCAAAAAAGTTTAGGGTTTGGGGGTTTAGGGCTTTAGGGTTTTAGGGTTGTAGGGTTTAGGGTTTAGAGTTTAGGGTTTAGGGTTTAAGACACTTATAATCTCGAATCCTCAAGCTCATACTTCAGGTTCCGAACCCACCATCTCAGGCAAAGAAGCTCATCGAGTTCATCCGGATGTTTCCATCCAACTTCAAGGTGGCATCGGGGGGGCCTGCGGGCTTTCAGGGCGGTTGAGGTGTCTTCGCACTGTCGAGTTTTGGGGCAGTGGGAACTTGGTGAGCTTGTGACGGGAGTTTGTCGAGGATGAGGGTCTGTTTGTGCTGGCATAGATGGTTGAAACCTTGTATAAGCCCTCAGAGTTAGGACCAACCGCCAAAAACCTTTGCCACACGTCAAAGCCCCAAGCCTCCAAACTCGCATATGCCCGATACCACTTGAAAACCTCAATACCCATGCCCCGAAGTACCTCCACACCCCCGAAAGTCTTGAAACCAGGTGACGGCAGATGATTCCCAGATGCTGATCGAGGTCACGTCGACCAGCGTGTCGGTCGTGGCCTCAGCCCTCATGCCAATCTCAGGGGTTCAAAGGAACTGTCCCATGGCTTCATCGCATTTTGTTTTACAAAAGCTGCTTTGTAAAGGTTTCATGGAAGTAGGAGCACTGAGACGCAGACATCCCTCAACGCTGATCCTAGGACCAGTCCATGATCGACCGGGCCATACAGCGGTTGAACCAGGACCGGGAAGGCAGGCCCCCTTCGGATGTTTTGGCCGGTCGGAGAAACAAGGGCGCCTTGTTCCGCTTCTTCCTCTCCTTAGTGCGGATGGGGCTGACAGCCTGGTGTTCTTGTTGCTGTTCGTATGCACAATCTACTGCCATTCTTGTTGCTAGTATTGCTACTACCACTACGTACTACTGCAACAACGACCACAACAGCAACAGCAACAGCGACACCACCACCACCACCACCACCACCACCACCACCACCACCACCACCACCACCACCACCACCACCACCACCACCACCACCTCCACCAACAACAACAACAACTACTACTACCACCACCACCACTACCACTACGACTACACTACCACTACCGCTACCGCTACCGCTACCGCTACCACTACCACTACCACTACCACCACCACTTCCACTACCACTTCCACTACCACCACCACCACCACCACCACCACCACCACCACCACCACCACCACGACTACTACTACTACTACTACTACTACTACTACTACTACCGCCACCACCACAACCACCACAACCACTACCACAACCACATACCGCTACCACTGCCACTACAAGTCACTACCACTACCACTACCACTGCCACTGCCACTACCACTACCACTACCACTACCACTACCACGACGACTGTAACTGCTACTGCTACTGCTGCTGCTGCTGCTGCTCTTGCTCTTCCTGCTACTGCTACTGCTACTGCCACTGCTACTGCTACAGCTACTGCTAGTGCTAGTGCTACTGCTACTGCTACTGCTACTGCTACTGCTGCTGCTACTGCTGCTGCTGCTGCTGCTGCTGCTGCTACTGCTGCTGCTACTGCTGCTACTACTGCTGGTGCTACTGCTACTGCTACTGCTACTACTACTGCCACTGCTACTGTTACTGCTACTGCTACTACTGC